ATATGTGTCAGAGAAAGGGGATGACTTTATTGTGTGAAAAACTATTTGAAGAATAAGGAAATGTCGAAAGCAAAATGCTTGTAATACATAATTTTTGCATGCTTGTCACAAAGTTCTATTTGTATGTGGCAGATCTACTTTTGCTTGAGAACTGGGTATTATGATGAAGCAAGAGCTGTTGCTCTGTCATCTCGCGTGTCAAACCAGTTTGCTCCTCTGGTAAAGACTTTTTTATATTCATTTAAATTTATAGCATATGCCGACGTATTCATTACTTCATTTTTGGACAGCTTACTGAGTGGATTAATACTGGAGGTATGGTGCCTGCGGAGATTGCAGCTGCTGCATCAGAAGAATGTGAAAAAATGTTAAGAACGGGTGATCGCGTGGGCCGAGCTGCATATGACAAGAAAAAGTTGTTACTATATGCTCTCATATCTGGTTCTCGTAGGCAAATCGACCGCCTACTAAGAGATCTACCAACTCTTTTTAACACCATAGAGGATTTCTTGTGGTTCAAATTGTCAGCTGTAAGAGACTGCCCTGGTGGAGCTGCACCCATTGTCATGAATGAGAGCTTGGTACCATACACTTTGGATGATTTGCAGATTTACTTGAACAAATTTGACCCCTCATACTATACAAAAAATGGAAAGGACCCTCTGGTGTACCCATATGTTTTGCTTTTAAGCATCCAGTTGATACCAGGTGTGGTATACTTGTCTAAGGAAACTGGAGATGAAGGATATAACATTGATGCTGCCCACATATCAATTGTGCTAGCAGACCATGGGGTCCTTTCTGAAGGAGCTGGGGCTGGACAGAAAATGGGCGTGATGGATGCTTACGCAGAGGCATCTAGCATAATCAGGCAGTATGGGTCTGTGTATTTACGTCTTGGTAATCTTCAGATGGCATTAGAATATTATGCACAAGCTGCTGCTGCAGTTGGTGGTGGGCAGTTGTCATGGTCTGGAAGAGGTAATGTGGATCAGCAAAGGCAGAGAAATTTGATGCTGAAGCAGCTCCTTACAGAACTGTTGTTACGGGATGGGGGCATCTATCTTTTACTTGGTTCAAGAGGTGCCGGAGAAGAAGGTGAATTGGGGCGATTTTTGACTGATGTAAAAGAGAGACAACAATTTCTGCTTGAAGCTGCTCACCAATGTCAGGAAGCTGGATTGTATGAAAAGGTAATATATCTTCCCTGCTTTACATGCAGGGAGAAGTTGCAAGTAGTACTTATCCTCTTTCCTCTGTTTGGGCTTATTTTTTTATTTTATTTTTATTAATGTAAGTTTTCCTTCTGATTCCCATCTTAGTTGCTGTTTGGCGGTTCAAAGGGAAAATAATAATTATTCTTTTGTTAATTTTTTTTTTTTTTTTTTTTTTTTTTGGCCTTGTTCAGGGTTTACCCTTTTCCTTCTAGTACTACTTGGGTGGTGGGTCTTGTTTGAGCCAAAATTGGACTCCAATGTGAACCATTTTTCTTTTATTTTGGGTATAATGAAGTATTAACTATGTAGTGAAAGCCCTATAAATTACCTCATGCAGCTGATTCCGATTAGTTTTAGGATATAGGGTTTGATTTGAGTTGAGTATTCTAACCCTCAATAGTTTGCAATTTTCTTCTGGTTCTGATTTTGATGTTTCTTGGATTGTTCCTCCCATCTTCTTGCTCTCAACTTTTTGGGGAAGTGCTTTATTATCCCAAAAAAAAAAAAAAAAAAAAAACCAGATAAATGTTTTTAATCTTGATTCTGCCCTCTTCAGATGTTGTTCTTCCTTATTTAATATGTTGTTTCTTTCTTAAAAAAAAAATATGCACATATATATATATTTGATGCTATAACCACTTATTTTTGCTCTTTTCTGTAATCATGTGTTCGCCCCCTACTCTTCTTTGTCCATTCAGTCTATAGAAATTCAGAAACGAATAGGGGCATTCTCGATGGCATTGGATACGATTAACAAGTGCCTTTCTGAAGCTATTTGTGCCCTCTCACGTGGTAGATTGGATGGTGAGAGTCGAACTGCTGGTCTCATTCACTCTGGAAATGAGATCTTGGAGATGCACAAATATTATCCTGAAATCAGGTCATTTTGACACTCAACAGCTTATGTGTACTTTTTTTCCTCTAAATTTGAGTTAGTTTGAATGATGTTTCTGTTTACAGTGGTGCCTAATTTCGAGGGATGCTCTTACAGTTGGTATTGAATTCTATGCTGTTTAGATTGTGTCTCCCAAAGATATGATTAGGATGTGTAAATCAGATTTCAAGAACTACAAACATGCGCATGAAATAAAACATATTTTCCTCTGGCATTCATATGGTTTGGCAATTGATTCACCATAAATATGACTTGTGCCAATTAGTTGTTCACCATAAACATGTTGTATTTTTCTGGATGCTGAAGTGTATACAAGAGTCGTGTTTATTTTTGTAAAGAATATACATTGGGTAACTGTATTTTCGGGATGGTTTTTTCTTTCTTTCTTTCAATTCTTACTAACTCTTTTTTTCTCATTATTAATGAAATTTTCACTTTTTATGCAAGTTCTCTGACGTAACAGTCATTTGCTGTGCAGTCCTCAAGAGAGGGAAAGTGTTTCAGAGCAGCATATTGTGTTAAGACAACTTGAGGCCGTACTGTCAATCCATAAATTGGCAAGAGGAGGCCATTATGCTGATGCTTTGAGGGAGGTTGCCAGACTTCCATTTCTTCCATTAGATCCTCGGACACCAGATGCTACCACTGATGTGTTCCAGAATTTATCTCCTCATGTCCAAGCCTGTGTTCCGGACCTCCTGAAGGTTGCACTCACTTGTCTGGACAACATGGTGGATTCTGATGGATCGCTTCGCGCCTTGAGGGCTAAGGTATGCTTTGACCAATAGTTTCATGTTTTACTGTTGGGTGAACATTAACTTTGGATACTAGAAAAAGTTGGATGGATTGGAAGTTGATTTACTGTTTTCTGCTTCATGATTGACCGCGTCCTTTGGGTTTTGCAGATTGCTAGCTTCATTGCAAATAATTCCAGCAG